TATTAACTCGAAACCTGGTTGGTTTATCTATTAATTGAAAGAAATTAGAGTCAGCAAAAAATTGCATAAAATTACTTGTTGAAGTGTCTGAGTCTGGAATACGAGTTATAGGCCAGCAAATATCGGGAAAATTAAAATCTCCAACTGCAATTGCATTTTGGAGTGTTGAAAAGTTATTAAGTTTATCAATTAATAGCTTAGTTGAAACTAAGCAGGAATCACCAGGTCTATAGATACAGGCGAAATTAATATTGAAGAGACCTTTAGAAACGTTAAGTAGTAAAATATCTATACCTGCTATTTTTGGGATGTCAGTGGTGATTGAGAAATTACGGGTTATTTCTTCACAAATATATATACAAACTCCGCCACCTGTTTTCAATGGTCTATCAGATCGAAATATGTTGTATCCATGGATAGAAACAAGCGAGTCTGGATCTGATGGTTTTAGCCAGGTTTCCGTGATAAATATTAAATGCGGTTTGAGATCTTGAACATTACATAAAAACTCGTCAAATTTGGCTTTAAGAGAATCCAGGTTAGTATATAAAAATGACCAAGAAGTAATAGTGGCAGAGTTAGACTTGAAAGTTAGAGTTTTTAACAATTTTTGGCACACCTTGCAAATACTTAATGGTTATGTCTGTTTCACCATTTTGCTTTCTGTTTTCTAGTTCGGCCCGTAAATCTTTAATAACTTGAACTTGAATAGACGTTTGATCGGTGATTACTGAAAAGTTTTTAGTGGTAGGGTGTTCAAGTAGTTTCTTTTTATTTCTTAATACAGAGCGGGCATCATATTCATTGGGCAGGACAACTTTAATCATACGTGGGTACTTTGAGTTTGACTGGGGCTTGCCAAGTCGGAAAAACGCTACGGGAGTTGAAGAGCAGCCAACAGATTGTAAAACTTGTTTAACTGCAAATTCGTCATGCTTCTTTTTAGTGCCGTTATCACCAGGTGCTTCAGTAATTCCACGCACTATAACATTCTTAGCTCGGTTCATTCTATCAAGTGCTTCGTGGGCAATTTTATCGGCAAATTGTGGGGTAGTTAAATGTTCAAAGTTGGATAGTTTTTGATTAATTTCCCCGAATTTTATTTTCATTTCATCTAGTTCCTTGCTTAGGTCATTTTTAAAAGACGCTAGGAGGGTTTTAATATCCCCAAATTGATCCAGACTAGCGTTACATGCCGAACAAAATATTTTTAAACATTTCGCGCGGTTTCGCGTGACTCGATCTTCTGCTGATAGTCCCGTGCAGGCGAGGTGGATAGGCCGTTTACAGCCATCACACTGAATGTTAGTCGTATCTCGATCAGATACTATTTTCGTGCAATTCGCGCAGTTGACCGTGGGCATCGTGATAGTAAGTAAACGATGGGATTGAAATAGATTTGTTGACAAATATCAGGTTTTTAGCACAAAAACTAAGATTTACACCTTACCAAATGCACTTTGTAGATGTTTGTAAAGTTTGTTGGTAACACAAGACTTTATAGAACACAGTTCGCACTCACAACAAAAGTTTCTTTATTTAATTTAATAAATTTACAATTTAACTTGGAGAACACTATCGGTACGTGTTTACTCGTCAAAGAATTCAACTAGGATAATCTTTTGGAATGATAAAAATTAACTTATTTGTTAAAGAAAAAACAATTTATTTTTAATTTAAAGTCTTACAGTTTTATCAGAAGTGGGATAAGAGATTAGAGATTCGGATTGGAAAAGTATTTAGGATTGAAAAAGAGTTTACAATCGAAATTATATCCAAGGAAAATTTAAGTGAGATTGGAAATGGCGAGCACATGTCGCGTCCAACGACTAATGAAGATAATAACGCAATTTCGATAGAAGAACTAATTTAGGCTACGGTTAGAGCAATGATTATGTATGATCAGCCTAAAAATAACACAAATGGAGTTAATAACATGAACAGAGCGCTGGAAGTTTAAAGGTACTGGACAACATATTAATATTTGGTTGGACAGAGTCGATTTCGTTCAACAAGTTTACCAAGTTAAAGATCCTATAATGCAGTTAGTTGCTGTTAGCAAATGTGTGGATCAAGCTAAAGCATTGTAGTAATCAAAAAACGAATTTATTCTAATGGACTGGGATGAAATGTACAATGTGGGAAAGAATCTAATAAATTTAAGAGAAATTATGGAGAGAAGACAGTAGAGAAGAAATTAAACGTTTTCTTCATATTATCACTAGAAGATCACTTTAGGTAATAGTGCCAGAGTATGAGCTTATACAATATTTAATTGATGGATTTGAGGACCGCAACTTACAGAATCAAGTACGCATGTTTTAGACAGAAGCCAGCACTCTAGAAGGCTTTTATAATATAATGAGTAAAAAAAAGAGTAACCAATATATTATTCTTAGTTTTAAACTGTAAATAAAGGTATCCAATTTATGAAACCTAATCATAGTAAGTAAAATTTTAATTGCAAAAAAGAGGGTTTTCGTATACAGAATTGTGACAAACCAAGGCGAGAAAGAGGTTCTTGTTTTGAATGTGGCAAAATGGACCACAAAGTTAATGATTGTCTACATAAATTATCAAACCAAAATAGTTCAAATGTCAACTTAGTAAAGCAAAATGTTTAAGTAAAACCCTATTTTGTTGATGAAAAATTTAACTGTTTAATAGTCAGTATTAAATGTTTTCTAGATAGTTGTAGTTTTGTTTGTTTAATTTCCAAAGAAGTAGTAGCAAAAAGTCTTATAATATATTTTACAGAGTTTAACTTTATTTTGAACGTAATAAGTAATTCATTATTAGTTGTTTTGGGGATATTTAATAATGGTTTATGTATTAATCAATGTGCATATAACCCCTGCACTTTTATGTAGTTCCACAAGACAAATTATCTTTTAAGTGTTTACTAGGAAGATATTTTATGCCAAGGTCTAAAATTAAGTAAATAAAATTTAACGACGATGGTGTTGAAATTATTAAAAATACTCCGAATTCTGAAATTTTAGACTTTGAAAAAATTTGTGATTTATTGAGGACATTTTTAATGTAAACCTTATTATTAATTTAAACTTACCTATGGACACTCAGTGTGTGATAAAAGGTATTCTTAAAACTTATTATTTAGAATCAGAAAAACCTGAAGAACCAGTTACACCCTTTGAAATAAAAATTAATGTTAAAAAAATCATTCTCCATTCTTTATTAGGCCTAGACGATTAAGCTATTATGAGCGAGGTTACTAAGTTGATTAATGAATTATTAGATCAAAACATGATAAGGAAGAGCTATTCAGAATATAGAGCAGGTCTATTGTTCTGGTAAGCAAAAAGCCAAGTGGCTATAGGTTGTGTATTGATTTTCGCGAATTAAATAAAATTACTACTCGAGATAATTTTCTTTTACCTTTAATTTTATTTTGTTGACCTGTGTTATTAATTTGAGTTTTGTTACAAATTGGAACGCGTGGCAATCATACACATGCCTTGCATGAAAATCAAAACATCTCAGGCCAGAAATGCCAAAATCTGCAGGCATAAATTCAAATTTTACTGTTATTTATGTGTAATCCGAATTTTTTGTTTTTCTTATAATATATACGTTTAGTACTATTTTAAAGCTTAATTTTTTTATTCCTATATTCGTGGGCCCTTTAAGTTTACCACACCAGATGTTAAATGGTAATCATGATTTTTTTTTATTAAACTTGCTGTCCCGTGACCAGAGCTTTAGACACTGTAAGTGTGCAATGTAATTTTAGACACAGTAAGAACACAAATATATTGCATCAAATTCTAACGAAGTTTACAGAAGCTACTCGTAGATTGCTGACGGCATTTTGTTGATTTTACCAATTTCACTTACTTTTACTTGTATATGTATAAAATTTATTATACAAATTTGCAACTTATTCATATAAATAAGAATTGTCCCAAATTCTTTATTTTTCGTCCTCGTAAAACATTTTGTTTAAATATATCTCGGCGTATTTTCCATTTGATAATAAAAATGGCATGCAGTTCTGTCGATTCATGTTCGCCTCGACGCGATATTTCATTGATTTTTCTAGTTCAAAAGGTCCACAGATTATTGTTGGAGTTGTATATCGCATAGTGAATCGATGCATATAATGCAGAATTTATACAATATTTTTCTCATGTAATACGAGCTAATAATCTTGCCAAATTTAGATTTATGTTCTATAAATATTTAAAAAAAAATTGAAGTTAATCTTTTAAAAAAATGAGGATTATGTTTTTAGTTTTGGTAAAAAGTACTAAAATTGATTTAATCTCACAGTTATAACTGCATGCCTTTTCTACCATTATAAATTAATTTTTCTACGTTCTACTCTATTTGTTTCAGAATGTGGCCCATTATAATTATTAAGTAAGAATTTTCGTTTTTAAAATATACGTATGTGGATGTACATATTTTATTTACATAAAATATGTATTTACGGCCTTAATGAAGATGTGTAACCAATGTCAAAATATCGGAAAATTATAAGAAGTTAAAATTTCTTATTAATTCGTCTTCATTCGATACAAAACTTTATGTATAATACTTACTAGGAAAGGTAAAGACAGGTACTCATAAGGATGAACGCGGTATGTCACAAAAACATAAAACTGAGAAAACATGTTTTTTTGTGTTTTTTCTCAGCCTTCACTTGTGTGTCATTAAACTTAAATTTTTATAGTGAATAACTTTTTTTTGCAATGGTTGTTTATTATTTATATAGCTAAAATTTTAAAAATTACTATATTTTTCTCAAAATTCCACATACCGCAATATTTTCTATTGAAATAGAGTAATATTTTAAGGATAAACGCGGTAACTGTGGATTTTCTATTTTTTCGCGTTTATCCTTAACACGGAGGGTTATAATTTAGTATAGTTCATTAAATAAATTTTTTTATTGAAAAATAAAGAAATTAAAATTATTTCAAAAAGATTTATTACGTTATTAATAATACAAACATTTTTCAATAATATTCATAGGTAAATAATATTCATTGATCTTCGCATTCGGGTAGATTTTCCCAAAATATTTGCCTGCTTGCTGGAATGATACCATTTAACAACTTAACTAGGTTCTCTTTCTTACTTTTGGGAAAGCCTCGTGGTTCAGAAAGACAGGCTATTGGGATGAATAAGCCAGATTTTTTCATTGCTTTTTTACACAAGAAATCTAATGTCTTGAATTCTTCGTTTGAATCAAACGAGTTTTTGTATTTCAGGAAAAATGATCCACGGCTTGCTTTTAGCTGTTTTATATTTGCCAGAAGAGGTCGGTTGCTGTCGCGTTTTACTTTTTGGTGAGATATTAAATCTTTCCATAGATAAAAATCAATAAAATTCATAATTTTAACTTGAAATTTGTTTTTTATTCTGCATTTACTAACCGCTTTGACAAAATCATCAAAGTCATATATTCTTCCTTGTCTTCTTAATGAGAATTCTATTTGGTGGTAAGAGCTATCAGCGGCCATGAAACTATGACCGGGCTCAAAGTAGTTCACCACAATTTCACTGGCTGATATCTCTGCAGAATTTATCATTCTAACCAAAAACGTCAGGAAGCACCAGTTCTTGTTCTGGCTCGAACAATTATCCAACCAAAACACGAAGCAATTGACATCTATTTAGCTTAGCATAAAAGCAAAAAAGCGCTAATTATGTCCTCCTTATTACGTCTGGAAATCGATTCATTCCACAGGACTGCAAAAGGTGGTAATTTCTTTGTACTGCCAAGAGCAACAAAACTTTCATTATAGGCAATGAGCCTTTTACTGAAGATAACTCTTTTGAAGCCATCTATCAGTGGAAGCATGATCACTTTTTGGAGATCAACGGAAACGTAAACGGTATCCACATTAGAAGATATGTTTACTTGCTCTTGATAAAGCTCTCGAGATATTTATCACAAACCATACAGTTTTCTTGAAAGTTATCTTTTGTATGGCCATGCAGTTTAAATTCCTCACACACCTCACACTCCTCTTGACCAAGTTTGGCAAACGAAATATTACTTTCCTTAATATGAACCCTATAAGAATCATAAGAATCTTTTGTATCTGGGAACTTGGACATAAAATCTTCATACATTAAGGAAACTGAAACGTCGCTAGGAAGGTACAATGTCGTCATCGATTTTCTATTTCTTTGGCGTTTTTCCTCTTTTATTGGCCTTGGCTTAAATCATATTTTTGGGGGTCTTTGAAAGAACGTCAGCCTTGAACAGGACGCCAAAATGTAATTTCTTCTTTCTTGTTCCGTCAAACTTCAGAAGCTTAAGTTAATTTATTGTCTTTGATTTTCAGATATTATTGATATGCACTTTTTTCTACAGACATTAACTAAACATGGTGAAACTACTTTATGTTTTTCAACTAGCAATTTACACTTTTCTGCTTTTTCTAATCTGATTTGTTCTGATGTTCTCTTCTTTCTTCTTTTTCTTGTTTCTCCATTTTTTGTGTAACCCTTAGGTGCATTTTGCCTAACTATCTCAGCAAGTGGTAGGTTGTCTTCAGAGTCACTACTTTTTACGACTTCATCATTTTTTCGATTCTCAACTGCTTTAAGCATTTTTTTTTTCATTTTTATTTCTCCGGTGAAACTCTCGTGTCCTTCATCAGCAGATCCTACACTGGAACTGTTATTAACATCTCACTTGTGTTTCAGTAACGTCATGATCACTTTTTCCAGTTTCAATTTTTTTAATTTCCATTTCTTCAGTACCGTTTTGGCCACCTATTTCAATTTCCATTTCTTCAGTACCGTTTTAACTGCCTACTTCAATTTCAATTTCTTCAGTACCGTTTTGGCCACCTACTTCAATTTCTATTTTGTCAGTATCGTTTTGGTCACCTCTTTCAATTTCTATTTCGTCAGTATTGATTTGACTAACTACGATAATATTATCTGAAATAGTACAAGATGCTTCTATTTTCTTGAATCTACCAAAGTCGGGTGCTGGTTATACAACTGGTAACAAGGTAGTCGGCGAAGCCGGTCCCTCAAATATATTTTCTGTCAATAATTCAGGTAGTTGTTCTGTAACAGGCATCAGCGTAGTAAGCGAAGCCATCTCTTCACATTCTTCTGAGGAAAGTTCTGGTTCTACGACAGGTAACAGGTTAGTTGAAGAAGTTGACTCGTCAAATAAATTTTCTGGTAATGGAGTGAAAGAGCGTATAATTCTGTTGCTAGTCGACAATATGATGATGATATCTCAACAGTACGCTTCTTTGAAGCTAAATTCAACATAAGACGGCGTCTACCAGGATTCATCTTTCTGAAAGAAACCTGATATTTTAAGCTGTTATGGTATCTTACATAACAAGAGTTGAAAGTAACATTTTTCACATGCACGAATATTTATATGAAAAGTCACAAGTATATAAAAAGTCACTTTCAACACGGGTTGTGTACAATATTTTTCTTACGATCAATAAAAAAGCAGGTACTGTCTTTCAAAATTAGTACCTAAACAAATACTAACATTGAAGAATTGAAAAGAATATAACAACACTAGAATTGAAAAGTACATAACAGCACTAGGATTAAAAAGTGTAAAATCCATCTAGACGCAAGCAGTTATTTTAAAAAATACTTTTCAAAACGCGTGTGTTATAGGATCGTAGGAAAACATTTCACTGGAAGACTGATGTTATAACTAACTTAACCTGGAAGACGGGTGAAAATACATGAAAAGATTTATTCATTTTTGAATAAAATAAAATACAGAATTACATTACAACTTACCATTCAAAATAATAACACAACTGCAAAAATAAAACAATTGCACTAGTACAGCTCTTTCGTTTCGTAATTATTTAAAACAATAACATACTTATGCATGTTTTGCCATCGAAACTCTAGGTGCTACTAAGGAAAAGCGCGGTAACTATTGCATACTAAAAAAGACCGCGGTATCTTGAGGTGCAAATTGTCTTTATACCGCGTTCATTCTTAGCATTACAAATATACTGCGTTTATCCTTAGCAAACATGGATGGTTTGGTGCATACGGCAAAAAAGAATATCGCTTTTGCAAGAAAATATCAAAGATACGGCAATTTTAGTTATTACACGATTAACCCATTAACGCCCAGTGTACTCATTTAAGTACGTACACCTACAATATCGCGATCGCAATGCCACACAACGCCGTATTTTGTAAATGTAACATAAAGTCATTGCTTACAAGTGTTATTTTACGACAACTGTGGTAGTCGTTTCAAAAATTGTTATCCTGTTACATCTGGCAGTACATATCAGTGCCGCTCTTCTACGTGTTGTTGATGTAATTAGAGGTGAATTGAGATTATACACTATGACCGACATTGTAAATAAGTGTTATAGGATAAATGTGTTAAAAATGTTTTATAGGTTATGTGTCAACATTATGATCATATGTAAATAGTTCTACGATATTAGGTTTGTTTGTTATTCTGATGTAAATCTCAGTGTACTCGTTTGAGTACATTGGGCACATGAGTACACTGGATATTTTTTCCCAGGACTATTTTACAATGGACATCAAAGAAATTCCAACTAGCTCTTTTTATGGTAAAAGATTCAAAACCTTAGCTTCTGCAGTTGATGCTGTTGAACAAGCAAATATTGGTAATTCAGAACTTGATGTCGTTATAATTCCACCAGAAGTGGATTATCAAACGAACAAGGAAGAATTGGATGAAGACGATTTATTAGTTGCAAACCTACCAGAAGATATTCCAGGTGAGGTGGAAATTGACCTCATGGGATTGATTTGAAGAAGAAGAAGAAGAAGAAGAAGAAGAAGAAGAAGAAGAAGAAGAAGAAGAAGAAGAAGAAGAAGAAGAAGAAGAAGAAGAAGAAGAAGAAGAAGAAGAAGAAGAAGAAGAAGAAGAAGAAGAAGAAGAAGAAGAAGAAGAAGAAGAAGAAGAAGAAGAAGAAGAAGAAGAAGAAGAAGAAGAAGAAGAAGAAGAAGAAGAAGAAGAAGAAGAAGAAGAAGAAGAAGAAGGAAGAAGAAGAAGAAAGAAGAAGAAGAAGAAGAAGAAGAAGAAGAAGAAGAAGAAGAAGAAGAAGAAGAAGAAGAAGAAGAAGAAGAAGAAGAAGAAGAAGAAGAAGAAGAAGAAGAAGAAGAAGAAGAAGAAGAAGAAGAAGAAGAAGAAGAAGAAGAAGAAGAAGAAGAAGAAGAAGAAGAAGAAGAAGAAGAAGAAGAGAAGAAGAAGAAGAAGAAGAAGAAGAAGAAGAAGAAGAAGAAGAAGAAGAAGAAGAAGAAGACGACCTGTCACTGACGGATCTTCAAATTATACAACTAGACAATACAACTGAAAATTTGGACAATACCCCACTGTTAGAGAGATGGGATCTTCTAAAGGGGAACCCTAATTGGACGCAAGTACCTACGGTATTAAAGTTGCCTAGTACAGATTGAGCCGATTATCGATTAGAACAACTTCGCCAAGATCTAAGAGGGCTAAATGCTGTGAAGATTTTCGAAAAACTATTTGATGACAAAGTTGTCCAACATATTGTCGATCAAACCAATATTTATGTGGCATCTAAAAACAATCATAACTTTGTAACAACTAAAGAAGAGTTAACAATTTTTGTTGGTGTGCTTCTCTTTTCTGGGTACCATAAATTACCTCGTGAGCGCCTTTATTGGAATCTTGATGAGAATGTTGGAGTTCCTTTTATTTAGAATGTAACTAGTCGAAACAGATTTACATAAATAAAAAACATTTACATTTAGCAGATAACAGAATACTTGATAGTGAGGACAAAATGTACTAGATTCGACCACTTATGAACATTCTCAATTCAAAGTTTCAACAATGGGGAATTTTTCACAAATTCTTGTCTATAGATGAAGCTTGGTTAAATACTATGGTCATCACTCTACGAAGCAATTTATAAGAGGTAAACCTGTTCGTTTCGGGTACAAGGACTGGATGTTGTGTAGCTCGGATGGATATTGCTATTCATTCGATACATATTGTGGAGCTAAACCGTCATCTAATCAAGGACCAACTAAAATTAAAACCGCGCTTCCACTAGGTTCACGAGTGGTTCTTGATTTTGTAAAAGTAATTGATTCCCCAAGTGATCATGTCCTATTTTTCGACAATTATTTTGCAAGCCATGATCTTTTAAATACACTTCGAAATCATGGAATATGAGCTACTGGTACTGTACGGGATAATCGTAAAAAAAATATCCTCTTGTACCTGCCAAGAAAATAAAAAAAGATCGTGGATTCTTTGATTTTCAATACGATAAAAGAAACCATCTTCCATTTGTTAGATGGAATAATAATAGTGCAGTAACGATGGTTTCAAACTATGATTCAGTCGAACCTTTAGCACAAGTCAGAAGATGGTCTTCGAAAAGAAAAGAGAAAATTTTAGTAGTCCAACCGCAACTTTTTAAAAACTATAACCACCGTATGGGCGGTGTTGATCTGTTAGATCAAGGGGTCAATAATTAAATAATTGCTGTCCACGGTAAAAAATGGTGGTGGGTTCTCTTTACTCACATAATAAACGTAACTTTTGTAAATGCCTGGAGATTACATAAAATTATTTACCCCAATGACAAAGTGGATCTTTTGTAATAGAAGCATTACTCGTCACTATCTACGCTCCTATAATAAGGCTGTACAAAGAAGATCTGTATCTAGTTGGCTTTCTGGTTCATTACCAAGAAGTATATTGGAAGATCCGGTTGGACATTTCCCCAAAAAAATTGAGAACCAGTTCAGATGTCGTCAATGTCATATGAGGGCTAGATGGATATGTGAAAAATGTAATGTGACTCTGTGCATTGAACGAGAGTGTTTTAAAATATTTCATTCTTAGTTGTTGCTTT